AGGATTTTTTATTAGCCGATGTTTGCTTGCCGTATCAGGCACGTATTATTGAGAAATAATATCAAAGTTTTGGGTTTGTGATCATTTATACTCGCTTGTCTGAGGGCAAGTTTAATCAATAAATAATTTTTTTTTTTAAATAGGTTCTCGTTGTAAATGCTTGCTTGTTTAAGGGAACTATTTTCCACAAATAATACAAAGAATTTTAAGTTTCTAATCACTAATGCTTGCTCACCTAAGGGCACATTTAATTATTAAATAACGATAAAAAAGTTAGTTCTTATATCATTGAAGATTGCTTGTCTATAGAGCATATTTTTCAAACAAATATTAGTAAGACTCTGTTTGGTTTTTAATTGCCGATGCTGGCTTACTTAACGGCACATTTTAATAGTTAGTAATGCTAAAAAACAGTTGAGTAGTTACTCGCTGATGTTTACTTGCTTGAGGGCACATTTTAAAAAAATTATACCTCAAAACTCTTGGATTATTGAATTATTGCACCAACGCTTATTTGAGTTGTAAAACTGGTTGTTAAGTTGAACCATGAAACTGGTTGTTCACAAACTTTACTGAAAAACTGTTGGGCTTCTGATTGCTAACGTTTTTTGCTTGAGTGCACATTTGTTTAATGAATTTTTGAAATAAACAAGATAAAAAAATTAGGTTTCTGATTTCTAATGCTTTTTTGACTAAAGAAACATTTTATTAATTTCTAATACAAAAAACTGTCAAATTGATCATCACCGATATTTGCTTGTCTAAGGGTGTATTAAATTTATGAATACCTTCAAAGAACTGTCGAATTTTTAATCACGTATGATTTCTAATCCAAGGTTGAATTTTATTATTTAACATTAATAAGAAACTGTTAGTTTTTAATTTGCCAATGCTTGTTTGCCTAATTATTCATAAATAACAACGAAATGGTGGGTTTGTAATTACTGATGCTTGCATTAGGGTATAGTTTACATACATAAAATACTAAGAAACTGCTGGATTTCTAAGTGTTGATACTTGTTTGCTCTAAGAGTATATACTATTCCGGTGCAAGCCAAGATTCGAGCTTCACCCAGATGCGTAAATGCCCTCCTCTCATCCCTTTGAGAGCGAGCTGGCCTCCAAAATTCTCCGTTATCTTCCTTCCTCTTTCTTCTCCTATGCCCTTTTGTCTTCTAGGGGAGTGATCCTCACGGACCTGTCCCATGCGGGGAGGTTAGTTTTTAGTCGGTAGGCACACCGGGTGAATCTGACACTACCACCGGATTAGCTGGGGTGCATATGAAGATTTTCCTCTCCCCGCTCCATAAAAAAAAAAAAAATCTAAGAGTACGTTTAATTATTTCATTGTACCAAAAAACTGTTTGGTTTTTAGTCATTTATGCTTGCTCTTTTTATGGCAAATTCAATCAACAAAGAAAAATAAAAAAAGTTAGCTTTTTTATCGCCGATGCTTGCTTGTCCAAGTTAATATTTTTTTAACAGATAATACTAAGAAACTGTCGGGTTAACAATCTTTGTTATTTGCTAACTCATATGCACTTTTAATTTATGAATAATATTTACAAAAAGTTAGGTTTCTAATCGCCTATGCTTACTCGCTAGAATGCACATTTTAATAATAAATAAAACTAATATGTTAGAACTCCAGTTATTAATGCTTGCTTGACTAAGGACACATTTAATTAGTAAATAATAATAAAAAAGTTAAGGTTCTTATCGTCGATGCTTGCTACACTCCCCACTATCCCCTTGATAGCTTTTTATTGACCTCTAACAGCTACACGTATACATCTCTCTCTTTCTCTCTGTGTGCGTGTGTGTTTGTATGTGTGTGTGTGTGTAGATACGGATAATTATACATCTACCAGCGGCCCCCTCTCTCGGCTTCGTCCGAGAATCACTGAATGGAACACCACAGTTTGTTGACACGTAATGTAAAACGTTGAAAGTTAAAAATTTTACATACATTCTTTACACTTCTCGGGACAAAAAACTTCTTATTAAAAATATCTTTGTTTGAAATTCATACTATTTATTTGGTTCCATAATTACCTGTAAAAATTATAAAAAATACAGTGATGCTAAAAAGTTCTGTGCGTTCCTGACGCTATAAAATAATTGTAGGTTCTGAAGGGCATTTGATTTGCAGTTTTTCACGTTATAGTAATGAAAAGGACCGTTTGTTAAAACAGTAAACTCAGATCCTTAATAATTGGAACAGGTTCAAAGGTAGGGTTATCCATCTTATCTTGAGAAAGTACTGTCTCAAATTGCACAAGTAAATTTTATATGTTAATATATTTTATAGTACCTAAGAAAGCATGGAATAACAAATATTTGCAGGCGTTTGTGCGTGAAGCGTTGAGCGGGGTCTTATAATGTACACTGTTTTTCATTTGATGTATTTTAACCCTTGAAGTACAGTGGAGAAGTCTGTTTTTCGTAATTTCTTACAAATTTATTGCGAATAATGATTTTTACTAACGAATTCAGATTAGATTACATCTAAGTTCTCCAACAACGCTTTTTACTGTAGTGGTTAAAAGTTAAGCTGAATGTTAAGACGCTCGCTTAGGGACAGGTAACATGACCAAAGGAGTCGCAAACATTCAAATATAAATAATAAGACACTAATTTTTAGCAGAAAGACTTATGAAACATGGACTGTTGAAATCTTGTATGGTGACAATGTTCGGTCGCTTACCTCCCCCTACTTTTACACCTCCACATCGTTAATTTCCTAAAGTTTTATTTAAATCACGCAACTATTCTTCAGTTCTTTACATTTTAAATTAAAAATTTTGAAATTTGATTTTAGGATCAATTGAATTTAACAATATTCTTAAGTACGTTTTGAACAAAAAATTAATAGGGATGCATATATCAAAATCTCTTGGTTTTAAAGTAAGCTCTCAAAGTTTAAGCAAATGTAAAGTTGGTTGTTGCCATCCATTAAGCAAAGAAAAATTTACTATTAAGGTGGTTCAAAAGTATTGTGCCGTATTAAGTTAGAAATATAACTTTGCGTACTAACTTGTTACTTTAAACTCAAAAGTTTTTGCATAACTATTGGTAAATAATGATTTTTTTAAAGTTGAAAAATTCTTTCGTATCATGAAGTTTTTATTCTTTTTGTCAAAACTTACTGAACAACTCTCTTGTTTTAGGAAAATTTCTAGCCTTTTAATGTACAAATCACCATAGCTTCAAGCAATTTGAGATTATTACAAAAATATTAGCACTGTTTTTTTTCGTTGAGCACCAAATCCACATGTCAAAGTTTTCCGTCACAACATCGACTAAGAAAATTTTTTAACTTAATTAAGTTGTTATACCACGTTATAACGTAATGTCATTTATGGCTGGTATTCTTAAATTTATTAATAGTAATCTTTAATCAAGATATTTAGCTTATGGGTCTTTAGGTATAAATGATAAAACTTATAAGTTCTTATTTGATTAGATGCATAATGAAGCTGTTTGTGCCGGGAAGTAATGCTAGGATAGCAACTATTGCGAATAGAAAATCGGGATCAGTGAGTCAATAAATTATGACGTTGCTTAAAACTATGTATCAATTTACTAACAGAAAATTAATTATTAGTGCTTGCTATGAGAGAAGTGTTCTTTTTCAACAGCGGCTATGAGCTGACTGACTGTTACGCAGAACAGTTAAATTAAAATGCCTCAAGCATTTTGAGTTTATACATTAAAATAAGAGAGTGAAAATAGCTAGTGGTTAAGAAATGATAAACCATAAGTTTAATACAGGCAAAAGTCTTTGTTTTGATTTTGCATGTGATGAAATAGTAGAGATAAGAAAATCGTTACTATTGTAAGAGAGAGAACGTAAATGTTAATGTAGTGCAATAAATATAACTTTTAAGGTAACTTATTACATGTGTACTATCTGATTGCATGATATTAGACCATCAGATCTACAAACATTCAGTCATGACGCTGCCATAGCACAAGTAACCTGTGTCTTTGTATACATAATCACCTTTTCGATAGCCAATACCAAAATATAATCTGGTACACCCAAATTTTTTCGATATCATTGAGAAGCTTATGATTTCTATTTTCAATTCCCAATTTTATACAAAGAGTTAAGGTATATTTTAGAAAATATCGTAACATTCTTTATCAATATTGTATGGCCTTCCATAAGAGCCCAAGTTAAACATAAATTTTTAAGAGATTTGTTTTCAAGAAATTGCGTGGCAACATAGCTTCAAATTTTTAGAGATGATTTGGTTCATGTTCAAGTATAATTTCTCCAAGTTTCGTTGATACTTAAGGTATTTAGATTTTGTAATGAGCTACCTTAAACTGAACAGAAGCCTTCATATTTATATATGACTATGTAAGAAATAAAGTGAAAAATTTCTTGACGTATTTTCTAATTCTTTGTAAGTTTTTGCAGTTTATTTTTAAGATAGCCGTTGAATAAAAAAAATTTAGGGCAGTAACTATGTAATCAAATCAAAAAAGCTTGTGAAATTCTAAATAGCAGAAAGTCAAGAGCCTCTGTCGTAGTTGTAAAAGTTTTAAGATACTTTAATTGATTGATGCAACGATGTTTTTTATAATTGGTTACTGTTTACACTATTGTTATTATTTTTTATTTTGTTTTCATTTTTTTTATTTGGAACAACAGAGATGCTGACTATGTTTTAAAAAAAAAAAAAAAGGAAACTATACGACCTTCGTTAAAATAATGTACTTCTGTATATGGGAATTACAAATTATTATGCAAGTACTAGTGAGATAAATTTATAAGTCCTCTGCAGAAAGCTATGCCCTTAACTTCATATGGTACTATTCACTTAAAACGTGGTATTTTACGCTGTAACGTGATAAATGTACATTGACTTTTTTTGTCCTTACTTTCATAAGAAGCTTATGAAGTCATATACAACAAGAAATTCTATTAACACCTCCTAATTATTTATCAAAGTATGCTCAGCAATTTGTCTTCTTTTTTATTGTTTCAGAAAACTCCTTTTGCGGCCACTTATACAAAAAGTGATGTGGGTACTTTTTACCGAGAATGTCAATGTGCCCCACAGCTTCACGTTTATATAGCAGAACAAACAGTAGCAGAACAGTTAGGTGACCTCACTAAACAGTTGGAAGCCTTTGAAGTCGATATGCATGTCTATGAAGATTTATTAAAATCACTTTGTAAACTAAAGCATGTTAATTGAGCTTGTAAATAAACTTTTTTTTTTATTAAAGTTGATTTGAAAAATTAATTTTTTCTAGCTTCTGAATCTTGAAATATTTTGAAAATAAGGTACGTATAAACATTTAAGTTCACTGGAATACGTTAAATACTTCATTGAATTATTTTTGAAGTTGCTATGTTTAAAAAAGCTATTAAAAAGGCAAAATATGAGAAAAAACGAGTTACTATATGTACTGCATCGTTTAACCTAATTTGCCCTCACATCACACTCCTAATAGCTTATTTTGCTAACCTTTTACCTAGTTGTATTCTGACATTTTTCTCTACCTCTCTTACTATTTAGTGAAAAAAAAATCCCTTGCTAGATTTAACTTGCTCTAAGTAATATATCTATATGTCAATCTCTAAGTGAAGTTGGAATTTTCAAAATTAGTCGATTACCCTTTATTTTTTAACCCCCATAACCCAATAACCCTTTATTCGTTAGCTTTTTTTTTAGTATTTCATCTCTGTAGCTTTTTATAAATATATAAAAACCTCCGCTCGTAAGGAAAGATTCAAATGGATTTTTGTTACCACAGTAAGTATTGTACTGTGTTATATTGTACTGTATTGTATTTATGTTCCACGTATACTTATTACAGGGTATTAATGTGTCCTATATCCCTCCCGTCTTCCCCGTTCTTTTTCCCTAAATACCCTTCTTTTTCCCAAATCTTGCTAGCTCTTTTCGAAGTGCACCTTAAATGACTTAATTATTTATTCTACTTGGTACTATTTTCAGGGTGCAGTAATTGTCTCAAGCTTGCTTCAGCTATCATCAAGTTCAATAGAAGGATTTTTCTAATTATTTATCTAACTCGCTGTACCAACCGTTTTAAAACCAATAGTGACTTTACCTTATGAGCTGGTCAGATGTTGACTATTCTTTGAAATGGAAACCCCTAGAGGTACAGACATCATCATTGATGAAAAATCCACTTTTCATTTTTAAAAATCGATTAGTGATTTTTCGGCATCCTAGGTACTTATGTCATCGAAAAAGTTCAAGAAAAAATCACGATAAGTTTTGACGAGATTCGAACCCATGACTAGTCGGGTTAAGAGACTAACACGCTAACCTCTAAGCCATCGGAACTTACTAATTAGTAATTTGTACAGTCAAAAACAATTTTCTTCTATATAGTCATGGCTCAATCTTTAGAGGTAAATATGGTCTTCCTGAAAATTTTTTTATTAATAGATTTCTTCATTCTCTAGCATAAAAGTAGAAACTTAATAATGTGTGCGAGTGATTGAATTTATCGACATTTTCCATCCAATACGATATTNGCACTTGTCCGAAAAATGCGATTGGTACTGTTGTATTATTTCCTAATATATGAGATCATAACATGTAACATCATCGTGCAAGCCTACTGTTTTGCTGTCAACGCAATCTGCAAAAACATCGCTCATTGATTAACCTAATTCAACCATCGTTTATCCTAATTTGCACTTACATCATACTCCTAATAGCTTATTTTGCTAACCTTTTACCTAGTTGTATTCTGACATTTTCCTCTACCTCTCTTACTATTTAGTGAAAAAAAAATCCCTTGCTGGATTTAACTTGCTCTAAGTAATATATCTATATGTCAATCTCTAAGTGAAGTTGGAATTTTCAAAATTAGTCGATTACCCTTTATTTTTTAACCCCCATAACCCAATAACCCTTTATTCGTTAGCTTTTTTTTTAGTATTTCATCTCTGTAGCTTTTTATAAATATATAAAAACCTCCGCTCGTAAGGAAAGATTCAAATGGATTTTTGTTACCACAGTAAGTATTGTACTGTGTTATATTGTACTGTATTGTATTTATGTTCCACGTATACTTATTACAGGGTATTAATGTGTCCTATATCCCTCCCGTCTTCCCCGTTCTTTTTCCCTAAATACCCTTCTTTTTCCCAAATCTTGCTAGCTCTTTTCGAAGTGCACCTTAAATGACTTAATTATTTATTCTACTTGGTACTATTTTCAGGGTGCAGTAATTGTCTCAAGCTTGCTTCAGCTATCATCAAGTTCAATAGAAGGATTTTTCTAATTATTTATCTAACTCGCTGTACCAACCGTTTTAAAACCAATAGTGACTTTACCTTATGAGCTGGTCAGATGTTGACTATTCTTTGAAATGGAAACCCCTAGAGGTACAGACATCATCATTGATGAAAAATCCACTTTTCATTTTTAAAAATCGATTAGTGATTTTTCGGCATCCTAGGTACTTATGTCATCGAAAAAGTTCAAGAAAAAATCACGATAAGTTTTGACGAGATTCGAACCCATGACTAGTCGGGTTAAGAGACTAACACGCTAACCTCTAAGCCATCGGAACTTACTAATTAGTAATTTGTACAGTCAAAAACAATTTTCTTCTATATAGTCATGGCTCAATCTTTAGAGGTAAATATGGTCTTCCTGAAAATTTTTTTATTAATAGATTTCTTCATTCTCTAGCATAAAAGTAGAAACTTAATAATGTGTGCGAGTGATTGAATTTATCGACATTTTCCATCCAATACGATATTACCAAGGCAACTCTACTTTTTCAGTTAAAACTACCGCTTCTCGAAAATTGTCATATGTAGCAATTAAACAAAAGTGCCACCTCGACCAGCACTTGAACCTGGAACTCTTTTCTTACCGGGAAAGTACATTACCAATTTCGCCATCGAGGTCTCGGTGACTCCTCTTCGCAATCGCTACATTTTTATATTTTTTCGGCGATTTTTCAGTCCAACGCCTTGCTCATATGGTATGTAAGAATATTAGAATTTACTCTAATTTATTGGTGGGTAAGTATTAAATGCATGTATTGAATTGGTGGCACTTTTTTTCAATTGCTATGTACGACTTTCTATTCTCTACAAGCGGTAGTTTTAACTGAAAAAGTCGAGTTGTCTCGGCAATATCGTATTGGATGGAAAATGTCGATAAATTCAATTACTCGCATTTAATACTTACCCATCGATAATATAGAGTAAATTCTAATATTCTTACAAAACATATGAGCAAGGCGTTGGACTGAAAAATTGCCGAAAAAAATATAAAAATGTAGTGATTCAGAAGAGGAGTCGCCAAGACCTTGATGGCCAAATTTGTAACGCCCTTTCCCGGTAAGAAAAGAGTTCCAGATTTAAGTCCTGGTAAAGGTGGCACTTTTGTTTAATTGCTACGTATGGCAATTTTCGAGAAGCGGTAGTTTTAACTGAAAAAGTCGAGTTGCCTTGGAAATATCGTATTGGATGGGAAATGTTGATCAATTTAATTACTTGCATTGAATATTTACCCATCGATAAGTAATAGTAAGTTCTAATATTCTTACATATCAATAATACAAGTAACTTCAAGATAAAACTGACTTTGTAACACTAAATCAAGAACCTAGTCTCATTGTTAGTTATCATGTTAGTATTTAAGATATAAAATTCAACACAATAAAACAGGAATATACTGTTACTCTATAATAAAATTGATGAGTAAATAATGTCACTTCTAAGAAACTAAAGGTTAGCTAATATATAATGAACAACAAAAGTAGTTTAATACCCTGATTAAAAAAGTCCTACAACACTGAAACAATTTCATGCTATAAAATAATCATCCAAAAATTCGTTTTGGATATCAACATTATTTTTCGACGCAGTCGCAAGTTTTATTCTATTTTATTATTATTATTTTTTTTTTCAAATTAAGTTTTTTAATATTTTCCATAATTTAAAACATTTTCACTTATTTATGCAGCCATTATGAATACCTATTCTTTCTGAGAATACGTAAATTAATTACGAAATGCTGAATTTTTCCATATCCTCTATTGTACATTTTATTGTTGTCAACATATGGCCCCTTATGACGGCCACATAGCTACTCCTGGTTAACTTTAAATAATCTCCTACAATTTACTTGAACACCACAAATTTGTTTACATCACTAATCGTGATCGCCGTACCGCCACGTCGTATCATTTAGTCCAACACTGAGTGCATAATGCTGACCAAGCATAACATGCCCAAATTCTGATCGCATGCCATGTAAGGCCTACTCGTCCCTAAAGATACCTTTTTGGCTGTTCAACTCACAAACTTTGCGACGTGTTTGGATCTAGAGTTATGACTCGACATAAGTAGTGGTCTGTGCGTAACTGCTTGCAGCTTCTAGCCAGACATGTCCCTATTCTCCATACTTTCAACAGACAACGCTCCTATCAGAGCCAATATTATTTGTTATAACTTGCTCGAAGCTCAAGCATCACCTCTAGTCCCGATTTCATTGGCCGATCTGGTAATTCTCCCAACCCATCCTCATGTTCTATTTGTTGCTACGTACAGTTGCAGCTGTACGTCATCGTACGGGTTCGTTCACCCAGGCTAACGCTTTCCCCTAATTACCATTGTAGATATACGGATAGTCAGTTAAGTAGCCATCTCCTTTTCAGAGTATCCTCTTTTTCTTAACTCTCCTTATCTTTTATCACCGTAATTGATGTCAAGAATCCCTCTAGTCATCCCAGTGTGTTAAGGTGATAACTATCCCTATCTCTTTGACTGGCACTATATTTTAATTGGTACTTGACGTGCAGTTGGCGGGTACTTGGTGAATACTTGTTAGGTAATTACTGGGTCCTTGGTTGGTACTTCATACGTGTTAGGTACTTAATGGGCATTTGGTAGGTGGCGTGTACTTGACGGTACCTACCAGGTGATTGTAAAGTAATTGCTAAGTATTCACCACACACCAATCCCCCGCAAAGTGCCCATTAAGTATCTGCCAAGTACCCACTATCAAGTACTTATTTAATACCTGCCACTCATCAAGTGCCCGTCGAATACCTGCCAAATACGCGCCAAGTTCCTGTCAGATATCGGCCGAGTACTCACCAAGTGCATGAGAGTAGCAGTCAATTTTATTACTTGTTCCAAATTGTCAATACCAAATAAGTTAATACTTATAACAATCCTGAGTTCTTATTGTTGCTTGATATGAAAGTTTAACATTTTTGTGGA